CTGGTTCGATGCTAAAAGAACACGAACAGCTGACAGTAAGTGTGACACAGCTGCTGTCATCACTTACCCATTATCCTCTGGGTGCACAGACAGATTTTACAGACAGAAATCATTTCTGAATCACCCTCTCTCATTTCACTTTCTGGCCCTCTTCTGTTCTCCACTAGGGGCATGACTAATGTGCAGTTGCTTCATCCTTCATTGAAATTAAATACAACGCCTGAAAGTAAAGCTGTACTAGGAACAAAGTAGTTTTTGTCCTTTAATCTAAAAAGAAACCCGTCAGGTCGGCACACACCATAAGCTCCTCAAACCAGGTGCACACATGGGAGATTCCAGTGCAGCCACCACCCACTCCAGTGTAGGGAGAGCGTCCTCTTTCAGGGCTCGCTGTGCCACCTGTGTGCCTGGGCCCGTAGCCAGGCAGGGTGTCATCTAGGCCTGGGGCAGTTGCACAGGGACATCCTGGCCCGGACTAAACAGGTTGGGAATGCGGCTGAGCAGGGTGTAAGGTGGGGGGGTGTGTGAGACACTATCAAGTGGAGAGAATAACACCAAATGGAGAAATAATCTCCCTCCAGAACCCTCCGGACCTGCTGCAGGTGGATAAGCAGGCGTCTCCCATATGGCAAAGCAGCCTTCACTCCCCAAAGAGATCATAACCCGCACAAAGAGACGGGGCCAAGGAACTCCCTGGGACCCGGGAAATGACGGGTGCAGCAGCTTTGAGTAGCAGTATGTCCTCTGTCCGGACACCTGCTTTTACCTAAAGACCTATGGGAAAAGTGGGCTGCTCTGTTGGCTTGGAGAAGAAATGACTGGCTTAGAAGCAAAAACCATAGTTGGTTAGAGGTCCTCGAGGCCAAGCCTCTCCTGAGTTGAGGCCCAGAGATAACTGAATGTGTGTGTGTGGCCGGCGCAGCCCTGGGATCTATGTGCCCTGGCTGCTGGCCCAGCTCTTTACACCACCCACCTGGACATGACCAGGACAGAAGCCTGCCAGTGGGGGATCTCACCAGGCCTGGGCAGTACCTTGAAACCCATGGGCCAGTGTATGAGGTAGAGGTCCAAGTACTCCAACTTCAAGGCCTTCAGAGTGTTGGAGCAGGCTGGTCTCACCAAGGACTTCTTATGGCTGGTGCACCAGAGCTACGAGGGAGAGGAGAAGCGTGACAATTGGCCACAGAGCCAGCGTTGACACATCTGCCCCTGGGTCCCACAAATCCAGGATCTGGAAGACAAACAACATCCAAGTCCCAGTGGCCATAAATGCAGCGGCCGTGACATTATTCTCCAATGGTCCAGGACGTCCACAGGGAGGGGGTCTGCAAAGCTCAGCTCCTCCTGCCTGATTTCTCCTTAGGGGAAGTGGGGGGAGGGGAAACACTGTGAAATTATTTGATGGAAGAGCTGTCTGGTTATTTGGATCCATTGAGACTAAAAAGATAAAATAAAATAAAAAATACCCACAGGCAGAAAAGATATGAGGAAAAATCAGAAGAATTTGTGTATTCAGTTTCCCCCTTGAACAGACTCTATGTTAAAGGTTCTCTGTTATAAAGACCTCAATCCTGCAGATTAAACTAGGTAAGTAAGTTAACACAGACTGCCTTATACTTAGCACTTCACACCCTCTGTGAAGTAAAAAGTTTGTAATTTGTTTTCCCCTCATTGTTTCCTTTATTATACTATTTTGGCACCATCGCAGCAAGAGCAAAACAAACAAACAAAATAAATAAAAGAAAGAGGATAAAAATATGTAAAACCAAATTACAAGTACAGCATGTTTACAAAAAAGAAACTAGAATACATCATATTATTAAAAACAGCACTTTCTAGATGGTGAGTATATCAGTGATTTTTTAAAAAATTGTATTTCCAAGACTTTTCTAAATTTCAGGAATTTTTCAGATCACATCCTCTGCTGGCTATGATCCAGCTGGGAGCACCCGTCCCCTCTGCTGGCTATGATCTAGCTGGGAGCACCCGTCCCCTCTGCTGGTTATGACCCAGCTGGGAGCACCCGTCCCTCTGCTGGCTATGACCCAGCTGGGAGCACCCGTCCCTTCTGCTGGCTATGACCCAGCTGGGAGCACCCGTCCCCTCTGCTGGCTGTAATCCAGCTGGGAGCACCCGTCCCCTCTGCTGGCTAGCCACAGGAACCCCAGGTACCCAGCTCCCTAAATGGAGGATCAGGAGAGATTTGCGTTCCCGGGCTAAGGTCCCCTGGGCCTCTCCTTTTACAGCACTGATGAGTTAGAGCATTGTATCCAGGTAACACAGACAAGCAAATCTACTACAGGAACAGCACTGAAGCTTGCAATTACGAAAATTTATTTATTTTTTAAATTTACTTTATTGATTTTTTACAGGGAGGAAGGGAGAGGAATAGAGAGTTAGAAACATCCATCAGCTGCCTCCTGCACACCCCCTACTGGGGATGTGCCTACAACCAAGGTACATGCCCTTGACTGGAATCGAACCTGGGACCCTTCAGTCCACAGGCCGATGCTCTATCTACTGAGCACAATTGAGGAAATTTAGATGCGGCAATCCCTCGGGAGATTGTGAAACCCACTGTCTGCTCTTCCACGATGGAGCCGGGTTCCTGAGCCAGCCTCGGGAAGGACAGCTGCCATGTGAACTCTCTGCTCCTGGCCTAATGGCCTTAATATTCTTCTTCAAAGTCAAAAGCAAAGGAATTCTTTAATTCTCCACTCTCTTGGTCTGCCGCCAGCATTTCTTACAGGGCCCACCTCCTGACTGTCCTTCCCAGCCATTTCCTTGCCATCTGTCTAGTGCTGTCCCAAGGCAGGCTGTCACCCCTCCCACCGACACTGCTGTTAAGGTCTCGTGCCTTCTGCCTCCTGTTTAAAGGACTCTGCTTTCACCTTCACAGTCTCCTCTACACAGAACAACTCTGGCTCAACAGAAGGTAAAACCTTCAGCGGTGCTCCTTGGTGAGAAGAGAACTCCTTAAATGGCGATCAGGTCTTCTGTGATCAGGCTCGTCCACGGCTCCAGCCTCACCGCTCCTTGTCTCCGCTGCCAACATTGCTCAGTCCAGGAACACCAAGCTTCTCAAGGGTCCCCATGCACACACCCACCACCACCACACTGCCCCATGCCTCCTGCCTTTGCTCTAGTTGTCCCTTCCGCTTGTCACACTGTCCCCGACCCCTTCACCTGCACCACTCCCAGCACGTCCACAAAGCTGCAGAAGCCCTTATTAGATCTGGTTCAAGTATGAATGAAGTCAGCAGCTCTATGGGAGCCTGGAAAATCATCCCCGTGCTATGTCAGCTGTCTCAACACCCAAGTCCTGAGCGGCCTGCACATGCTCTACCTGCAGGCCAAGTCCTACCTTACTGACGATGAACAGGTCCTCCCGCCGAACCACGCCCTCCTGGATCTTGCTCTGGATCCCGGCTCCGATCTCACTCTCATTGTGGTACAGGTAGGCGCAGTCAAAGTGCCGATATCCCACATCTATGGCCACTTTCACTGCCTCTGTCACTTCCCCTGGAGCCGCCTGCAGAATGAACAAGATCCAAGGAGTTGCCCGGCTGACTACCTGCAGCAGTAATAAACTAGGTGCTTGTAAGCCACCCAGCTTTCCTGGTTGGTTGTTATGCAGCACTTCTTGGGCAGTAGATTTCAATGGCAGATTTGTAATCTCACAAGATTAAAAATAAATAAAACGAAGACTTTGTATGGATCAGGGAAAGGTGATTAGGATTAATCCAATTCTATACCACCAAAGTCCAACAGTTTTCACAGCTTTTCCTTACCCTGGGTACGAGATGTGGACTCCTACATCCGGCTGAGTGCAGAAGACATAGTGCATACAAGAATTAAAGTCAAGACAAGAAAGTCAAGACAGTTAAATCCATAGAGTGCTATTGAACAGCGCCAAATGCATGGCCTTGGCTAGAAGCTGAGAACCACCAGTGAAACCACAGCCTGGCCTCTAAGAGTTGTTAAGTGGATAGAAGAAATAATTTAAATAATATTTAGATGAGTGGTGGGTTGATCATTCTAATTCCTACTCTAATTTCCTAGGTGACTTCTTACAGGAATATATATATAATCAAAGACTACATTTTTTTTAAAAAAAGAAAAGAAAAATTGAAAGTTAGTTAGTGCCAAGTCTCAAAGCACCGACAGGTCAGAAATCCAAAGTAGAGAAAGTTCCCAAGTTCAAAGTGCTTCCGCTATCAGGTTTACACAGGGGACCTGAAGTTACAAAGTTCCTATTTAAAGCCAATTCCTTTATCTTACTGATTCAGACAACTTTCCAGGAACAGTGGCCTCTGATCTAGTTAGGTGACTGCCACTTTCTGTCTGTACGCAAGCCCGACGATCTTTTCTTCTGGGCTTGCTTCCCCAAACATTATTTCTGAATAATTGTGATTTGGCTTCAATATGCAATATCAGAGACAACCCCCATTTCCAGATAATCTGCCATCTACAAATCCCATCTTTCAGACGCAGGAAGCCTCCCGGGGAGTTACAGGGACTAGCTGGCTGGGGGCTGCAGGTGTCCCCGCGGGTTTCTCCTCTCCGGGGCGTCCAGGGAGGTGGCCCCCAGGTTGTCCCTGCGGGTGGCCCCTCCACAGCAGAGCGAACCGCGGTGAGGAAAGGCGCCGCCTCTCCAGGACCCGAGGCCGCCTCACCTTCCAGGTGCCCAGGCCCAGAACAGGAATCTTCTCCATCCTTCGGAGCGGCTTCTGTGGCGGCGGTGCTGCTCTGGAGCTGAGCCACCGCGGCGGACTCCAGATTGGCTGGTGGCTCCGAGGCGGCGGGTTAGTGGGCATCTCAGCTGGGGGGGCGGCGCCTGAGGCGGGGGCCGCGATTGGCCGGTGGCTCCTAGGTGTCCGGGTAGCGGACCGCACCGTCCTGGCCAGTGGACACGCCCACATCTCGGGAGAAAGTTGGACGTTGGGAAGCGGGGTGCGCGCGCTACGCACTGAGGTCCTGGCAGGTCCCAGTCGCGAAGGCGGGCGGATGCGCAGGGGTCCCCAGGGTCCCAGGGTCGGCAGAGTCCCCCCAGGGCAGCCCGGAGAGGACCCGGACTAGGGCGCTCTGTGCACCGCTCTGGGCGCCTGGGACCAGGGTAGGTCGGGGCAAGGCACTGGGCCGCTCCTCCGGGGACCAGGGGCAGGAGCACCCTTGCTGGAGCCTCAGGTCCTCAGGTGGAACTGGGCGGAGTCATTGCCCTGGCTGAGCAATGGAACTGGGCACCCCACGACCACAATAGACGGAATTCAGGGGCATGGAGTATTCCAGGTCTCGCTCATCTCCCCCGCCCCACTCTCCTCCCCTCCGCCCAGGGCCTGCGACCCCAGTGCCTGGATGACTCCAACCAATAGTGTGTTTTGTTGTTCCTGGCCTGCGGCTGCAGTGCTGGGGCTGACCACCAGGGGGCGGGCTGTGCCCACTGGGCTCAATGGAGTAACTGGGGCAGGGAAGGGGTCAGTCATGCTGGGCGTGGCCCTGCCTCTGACCCACCTGGTACCTTTAATTCTTAGCCTCCATCTCCATGATGATGTGAGCTGCTCAGAGGCGGGAGAGGGCTGTGAGATCCTCTCATTGATTTATTCAGTTACTGTGAAGAAAAAAAAATTACTTTTTATTTGTGGGAATATCAGAAAATTCTTTATATACTGCTTTCACGTCACAATATGGCCACAAGTATTTTTGCATTTGGTACTGTTTATATTGTTTGACCCGTCGCCCCTCTTTTGTCCTACTCCAGCGTGAAAATAAGTCGTCCCTGAATTGGATGAGACTTGCAGGGTGGGGACCATGCAGGCAGACACACTGCAGAAGCTGGCAAAGTACCCGGTGTCTGCCCTCCAGAGCAGACTACTGTGTCCCTCCTCCCTGTCTATCTACTGAAACTTCTCCAGCACCCAACAGGTCACCCCTGCTGTGGAAAAGGTGGGTGCTTCTCCCCCACTACAGCACAGGGGTTACTCTGCCACCTCCCAGCTGGGTGTCTTGAGAATGTCACTTCACCTCTCTGAGCCTCAGTTTGCTTGTGTGAAAACTGGGGTGCTATGAGGACCAAACTCAGAGGGCTATTGTCAGGACTAAGTGGGATAAGCCATGGAGAGTGCTGACCCTGTGCCTGGCCCTGTGGGAAGGGCTGCTGAGGGCTATGGTTTTATTTATGATTTTCTCTTCCCCATGAAGCTCTCTGCCTCAAGCCTTACTTATTCTGTGGCCTGGGAAAAGCTGCTTCCCATTTGTAAACTGCTTTCTATCTGGGTGTCACATTCTATCTGGGCGGTCCCCTGTCCTGGGTGTAGCCAGAGCAAAGACTCTTAGAGGATTGCTGAGGGGCCTCAGGTACACTCAGATATCTGAGAAGGTTCATTCTATTAACAGTAGATCTATTAAGTGCCTACAGTGTGCAGGCCCCTTTCTAGACACTTGGCATAGCTCAATGAATGGAGCAGACTAAAATCCCTACCCTCCCTTGCTTCCATTCCAGTTGGGGCATCAGCCAGTGCCACTGGACATCACAGCAGGTAGAGGACACGGGATATTCAATGTGACACCTTCCTAGGCTGGAGCCCGCTGAGCCGGAGCCCTAGGGTGGATGATTGTGAGCATAAGGGGAAGGGTTGGTGCTGGGGCTACTCAGGGAGAGCAGCCAGAGGTTGGTGTAGGGACAGGAGCAGACTGGCCTCAGACCACCTATTAGGAGGATTCAGCCTGGGAAGACGTCCTTTTCTGGGAAATTCTGGGATATGTTCTGTCTTTGGAGAGGCATTCAGGTGACTTCTCCTCCTCTTGCAGCTCCAGCACCATCTCCAGAGTGGCTCTGGCTCCAGCATCAGTTCCTGTAGCATCTCCAGAGCCAGATCCAGCTGTATAACTACGGGGCCCAAGCCCGCATACAGCTTGAGGCACTACTGTCATTAGATTTGATGCCACTTCCAGCAGCAGGTCCAGAGCCAGAGCCAAGTGTACGACCGATTCTAACAGCAATTCCAGAGCTAGAGGCCACTCCAGGAGAAGCTCAGAGGGGCCTTGTCTTCCCACGTGTGGAACAGGAACTGCACCTGGAGCCTCCCTCCGCACCAGCTCCTGAGCTACACCCAGCACCAGCGTTGGCCTCCTCTCCCCTCTGGTGGTAGCACTTTTTTTTTTTTTTTCAGTTTTCCTTTTATATTTAAAAAAAACACACATTTGTTAAAATTTGAATTCAGTATGATGCAACCTTTAAATCATTTTAAACTGCAATTTAGAGGCAGTAAGCATTTCCCTATGCTGTGCAGCCAGCCCCACCGTCTAATTGCAGACTGTTTTCATCTCCCCAAGAGGAAAGCCCACACCCAATGGTCACTGCCTTCCCTTAGCCTCCAGCAATAGCTAACCTGTTTTGTCTGTTTCTTTAACTAGCCTGGATTATTCATATAAATGGAATCATACTATGTGGCTTCTTATGCATGCCCACATATTTTAAGAAGGACTCATTTTTGCTTTTCTTAAAATTTAAAATAGCACTTTTTATTTAAAAGAGAAATCCCAGATGAAAAAAAGATTATATGTGAAAACTGAAGCCCTTATAGTAGATATGTTCAGAATCTGGGGTGGGGTGGAAGTGGGACCGCTGTTCTAAGTGTCACCAGGAGCCAGGAGCCATAAAGAAACAGCTGGCTCTTTGGTGGCCATCTGAAACAAGGAAAACATACCCAGTGGAAAGACAAATGGAAACTAGAGCAGCATTCCTCAGAACCCGAGGACAGAGAAAGGTTTAACACACTGATGGTACCAAAAACTCTGAAAAAACAGTTTTAAAGGGATCCAGAAATGAAACATGCTGTGCAAACGGGAAGCAGGGCACATGGCCTATGTGCCAGAATGGCCACCTCCCTGCTGAGGGCACACACTGCTAGCATGTCACCACTGAAGTATGGTAGCAATCATCTCAGGTAGAAACTATAGTTTAACCCTGCTGTTTGGCTTCTGTACTTACTTGCTCTGTTTAACAATAGAAAAGTTATTTTGATTTTCTGAATTATATAAATCATCCCATTCGATTGAATACCCTATTGATTGTACTGTGACTATCCCATTGGTTGTGGTCATACTGGTTTTAGAAAGCACATTCCTCTGTACCTGGGAACCAGGACAGCACAATTATCCCAAGACCTGAGGGCTCCAGATAATGTGTTCCTGTCAACTCAGTTGTCTCAAGACCAGAGGGCTCTAGATAATGCGTTCCAGCTGACTCAGTGGTCCCAAGACCAGGACAGCACAATTACTCTCAATTGCCTCGATGGCTCTAGATAATGTGTTCCTGTTAACTCAGTGGTCCCAAGACCCGATGGCTCCAGATAATGTGTTTCCGCTGATTCAGTGATCCGGAGACCCAAAACTATAATTAACATGCTTAAGTCTGCTTCTGTAAACTGCTTTTTTGCAAACTAGGTTCCTCATTCCAAACCCTGGGATGCAATCGATACCTTTGTGATTTTTGCCTCTATAAATCTGGTGGTGGGCCTGGGGAGGGCACTGCGAGATTTGGGAGAGCGAAATGCCCCCTCGTAGTCCCGGATTTGCAATAAATATGACTCCTTAATTCGACTTCTTGAGGCGTCCTTGTGTGATTTGCGGGCTACATTACAACACCATCACTAGCAGGGTTTATGTCGGGTGATAACCAACTTTGGGGACAATGTGAGGAAGCAGAGGCCCCACCAGATCCCCTGGAGAGAATTGTGAAAGGACACTCATCTCTGGGAGGAAGCATAAATTTCCACAGGTACAAAGGTACAATCTTTACCTAGCAGTGCTGAGCCTAGGAATGTATCTAGAAGAAATGCCGACATAATTCTTCCAAGCTTATTTATAAGGCTACCCATTACAGTCCACACAGACTATTCATTGTGGGGCCATTGCCCTGGTCTTGGCCCCATCCATACTCCTGTCCTTCTTGCCCCATAACCTAGCTTCTGAGCAGAACAGTGGGTCTGCTATCCGGGACAGATGGGGGAAATGGCCTGGCTGCCTGCCCGCTCCCTCTTCCAGGCACAAGCCCCTTCCCCTCAGACAGGAAAGCACATCAAGGTTGAACAATAGGGATGACCTTGAACATGTCTAAGGGTTGGTGATCTAGGGCAAGTCGCGATATCCCTCCAAGATGCTCCACCCGGCCCCTCCTCCCACCAGAAAAGGCACAACCCTAGTGGCCTCTCAATTTTGGAGGCAACATATTTCTCATTTTGGTATGTGACTCTAGCCCAGTGGTCGGCAAACTGCGGCTTGGCAAACCATGGCTCGCGAGACACATGCAGCTCTTTGGCCCCTTCAGCGTGGCTCTTCCACAAAATACCAACTTCTGCGCATGGGCCACAAAGTTTCAATCGCACTGTACGTGCGCGCCCGCACGTGGTGTTTTGTGGAAGAGCCACACTGAAGGGGCCAAAGAGCCGCATGTGGCTCGCAAGCCACAGTTTGCCGACCACGGCTCTAGCCCATTTACCCATTGAACTGAAAAGCTGCTAGTTTTGAGCTGGGCCCAGAACTATAGAAGGCTTTGCAATAGTTCTAGGCTGCCATGCAGGCTTTTCTGTCCTTGGGCCATGAGCAATTACTCTAAATTGCCTCGATGGCTCTAGATAATGTGTTCCTATCATCTCAGTGGTCCCAAGACCCGAGGGCTCTAGATAATGCGTTCTGGCTGACTCATTGGTCCCAAGACCAGGACAGCACAATTACTCTAAATTGCCTCTATGGCTCTAGATAATGTGTTCCTGTTAACTCAGCGGTCCCAAGACCCGATGGCTCCAGATAATGTGTTTCCGCTGATTCAGTGATCCGGAGACCCAAAACTATAATTAACATGCTTAAGTCTGCTTCTGTAAACTGCTTTTTTGCAAACTAGGTTCCTCATTCCAAACCCTGGGATGTAATCGATACCTTTGTGATTTTTGCCTATATAAATCTTCTGAGATACAATTTGAATACTTTATATACATATTTATATACTAGAGGCCCAGTGCATGAAATCTGTGCACTGGGGGGGGGGGGGGCAGGGTGTTCCTCAGCCCAGCCTGCATCCTCACAATCCAGGACTGCTGGCTCCCAACCACTCACCTGCCTGCCTGCCTGATCGCCCCTAACCACTCTGCCTGCCTGCCTGATCACACCTAACCACTTGCCTGCCTGCCTGATTGCCCCTAACCACTCTGCCTGCCTGCCTGATCACACCTAACCACTTGCCTGCCTGCCAGATCACCCCTAACCAGTCTGCCTGCCTGATCGTCCCTAACCACTTCTGCCTCAGCCCTCACCACTGTGGCTTCGTCTGGAAGGATGTCCAGAATGACATCCAGACGGTCGTTCAGCTATTCAGTCTAATTAGCATATTACACTTTTATTGTTTAGATTACCCAGTTTCTCTGGCTAGAACTGTCAATACTATGCTAAGTAGAAATTGGGGGAGTGAGTATCCTTTCCTGTTCCTGACCTGACAGCAAAAGCTTTCAATTTTTCACCACTGAGTATGCTATTAGATGTGGGCTTGTCATAAAAGGCCTTTATTATGTTGAGTAAGTTCCCTTTTATTCCTAGTTTATTGAATATTTTTGTTTGTTTTTTTTTGTTAATCTTCACCTGATGATATTTTTCCATTGATTTTTAGAGAGAGTGGAAGGGAGAAGGAGAGACCAAACATCGATGTGAGAGAGACAGAGATACATCCATTGGTTGCCTCCTGCATGCTCTCCAACCAGGGCCCGGGATTGAGCCTGCAACTGAGGTAACTGCCCTTGACTGGAATTGAAACAAGGACCCTTCAGTCTGCAGGCCAACGCTCTATCTACTGAGCCACACTGGCTACGGCTTATTGAGTGTTTTTATCATGAAAAGTTGTTGAATCTTGTCATATGCTTTTTTTTGCAAAAGTTGAAATGATGATGTAGTTTTTCCCTTTATTCTGATAATGTAGAGTTTTTTGGTATGTTAAACCATCCTCAGAATAGACTCCCTCATGTTTGGCTTCTGTCCTGATGCTGGTGAGATTCACAAATGTTTGTGTGGGAATACTGTTGTTTTCCATGTCTATCCTCACATACTACCTTACTACCTTGATCACTGTAGCTTAAGGAAAAGTCTGAGTAGCTGGAATTGTGTATCCTCTAACATTGTTTAAGATTGTTCTGATTACTCTTGGCCCTTTGTATTTCTATATCAACTTTGAAATTAGCTTATCAATTTCTACAAAGATATCTGCTGAGGCACTTTTTAGGGATTGTATTGAATCTATAAATCAAATTGGAATAATTGACATTTTAACACTATACCAGGGAAGAAGACATCAGACCTTAAAAAGAAAGAAATGATAAGCCAGGAACAAATATTTGCAACTCATATCTCAGACAAAGGACCTAATGTCCTCAATAAATAGATATTAGAAACTGATGAGAAAAGAGCAGCCACACAAAAGTGGACAAAATACATCATCAAACACTTCACAAAAATAAATACTCTTATACACATGAAATATGCTCAGTCTCAGTTATTTGACAAAATTACCCAATCTAGAAGATTGAAAATATACTATGAAACTGCAGAAATAGGAACTTTTATCATCAGTGATGAAAATGCCAGTTGCCTTCCAATGAAGGCAGTTTGATCACATTGATCAAACTTACAAATGTATTTACTTTTAATTCAACAGTCCCAGGTTCAGGGAATTTATCCCATGGAAACATGTCCACACTTGACATATGTACATGGTCACCCATCACAGCCTTCTTCATAAAAGAAAAGATTGGAAACAACCCAATTTCCTTCATTGTCTCTCAGGTTATATGAGCGATGGCCATCTCTGAGATGGCAATGTAGGTGGGGGAAAGATCAGGAAGAAAGAGTGAAGAAAGAAAGCTACTAATTTGCAAAGGTCTCTCACTGGTGCTGACTGCTCACAGGGGTGGCCCTCACTGTTCTGCCCCACCCATGTCAGGCTGGCTTTTTTAGCACCTGGAAACATGACTTTACTAGTGTGCCACCAATGCCAGAGTCTTTGTGGCCAATGGGGGTTACCCAGGGATCTGGGCCACGTGTGTACAATGACCAGAAGGATCCCAGTCAGTCTCCCGGAAGACATTGCCCAGTTCCCCT